CTACAGCCCTGTCACCAGTCGTCCCCATCCCTGGAAACGGCCCCTGGCTCTGGGGCCCCTGGGTCTCTCCTGTCATGCCTTCGTCCTGAAGCTGGTGTTGGCGGGACACAGGTGTCTGGGTCAAGACCGGGGAAGGAAAGTGCTCCTGGGTGTCCCACTCCAGGAAACACCACGCCCTGTCCCAGTGGAAACTGACACATCCCAAAACCAAAAGCCATGCTGGTACAGGCCATGGGATGGGGCCTTTCGGAACGCACAGAGGCAGACGTATCTCTGAGAGTTCCAGGCAGGGCTGAGACCGGAGGGGAGTCCCTACACACACAGGCTTTCTCGTCACTCTGGGAGGGACAACGCCGCACCGAGCGCCCTCCCACGTTTCTGGGATGCTGTGTCCTGCGCCAGCTCCGAGGACCAGGCAGGGGCTCCGCTTCCGGGGGCAGCCGGCTGCCATTTGGGAAACTAGCCAAGCATGCGACGTGTCCCTGTGCCTCTTGTTGGAAATCAAAGATCAAATTCTCAATAAGGGTGTACTGACACGACGATGCCAGCGTTCAAGGCCAACATTAACTGTAATGACGGTGCCTGCATGCCGTCCGCAAAAAATGGGACCACGTCCTTCTACCCTTACTGAAACTAGAAATTCGTATCTGATCCGTTATGCCAGTGACATCTGTCTGTTTTCTCAAAGGAGCCTAATGGCTCTGCCCCTGCCAAGTGACATCAAGGAACCACACGCAATGATGTCCTGGGACGCCACCAGACTAGGACACACCAGGTCTGACAGAAACCGCCCAGCACAGCACAACCTCCCTCCACGCACCACCCCGGTTCTAAGACGCCCGTGTTCATGCAGGTGTAAAATCTCACCCCCCCCCCCCCGGCCCCAGTTGCCGTCAGCAGGAGACAACAGTGACATAGGTGTCATTGCCAGACTCCTCCCGGAAAGGTCAAGAGCCCAATGTGAGATCCTACAGAATGGGTATCAGCAGCTTAGAAGCAGCTTCTGGAACCAACAGCGGGAGCCGCTTTTCAGAAGTTCTCCGGCCCCAAGCGCTCACCTCGGCACGGAAGAGTTTTGGAAAACACGGACAACTCCGGGTCAAGACCGGCCAGAGCTTCGAATCATGGTGCCAAGTCGTACGAATCTCTCTTACATTTTATTTATTTTTGGAGTGTGATATGGAAATCTGTCTAAAGTCTAAAAAAGTTCTTTCAGTAAATATGGAATGTCTCACGAGAAGCGTTCCGTAGTTCTGATGGGCACATTTTTCTTAATGGTTCGCGAGTGTTTTGAAGTGTCTTGAAGTGCTGGGTCTGAGTCTCGGAAATGTGGCCCTCACTGGGCCAGTACAGGGCGGACCTGGGGGGACCCAGCTTTTAACTTGCGCAAGGGTGACCGCCAGTCATCCCGCAGCTCGGAGAGACCCTGCTCTATCCTACTGGCTCGAACTTCCGAGCCTCTCGGCCCAGGTTTGGGCAAACTGGGACAGGAAAGGAAGGAAAGCTGCAATGGGGAAAAGGCCTGAGATCTTCCTGGACCCATTCCCGTCGCTGGCCTTCCATGTTAAACAGTGAATTTGGGGGAAAAAAATTAATTTGGGCAACTTTATAGAAAAATTTAGAGAACCCACAAACTTATCTGCATCTTAATTGTTTTTAACAAAGTTGTTCACCTGTGCCCATTTCCCACCGGCCGCTCCCATTCGCACGTGTTAGCGCGTCCGCGCCACAGTGGCTTGGCGGCGAAGTCATCCCACCGCTCCCCAGCCACGAGACCCTTGCATTCCTCTCTCGAGATTATTTCATTTGCCTTATTACCAGGGGCTCTTCTACCCAAAGGAGAAAGAGAAGAGTTTTCAAAGCTTATCACATTGTCAGGCTGAGCAAAGACTCCCGAGAATCATCCAGCAACACCATAACGTAACAGTGTACCTATTCCCCTAAATTCTAGGTGACAGTTTGATTTTTTTCCCTAGCGAAGGCAATATTTTTGCAAATAAACAACAGTGCTTAAGCCCACCGTCTTCTTACAGGGTGCAGTGGGGCTCTGGGCTCATCCAGACCTCTGTCACCTGACCGTTAATCCAAGCACCACTACTGCCCAGGCCTGCCACCTGCAGATCATGACCCAGGCAGGATGGCGCCAGCAAACCCATCTCTTAGAAAACACCCGCTATACGAGCAAGTTACATCTCAGTTCAATCTGCGTCTTGTCTCCCTCGGGGAAGGCTTCAGGGCTGACAGGAAACCCCAATTTAACTCCTGTGGGCACAGACGGACAGACGGATGAAGGGTGAGACAGATGCACCATCTCACCAAGGAAGTCGCTACGTTCCCATTCACTCAAGAGGACTGTTCTTCCTTAAAATTAGAGAAGGGCTACAATATGCGCACAGAGCACATCTGTAATAGTCACGGACCAGTTTTCAGAGAAGATGCTCCTTGTCATAGCAAAGTGATTTACAAAGATGCCTCCTCGGCTGGCCCCCATTTTTAGGACAGACCCCAGGAACATGCCTCCGTCTGGACCGTGACGCTAGCGCCCGCCGTCCGCTCCCAACTCCGGGGCAGATGCAGATGGGAGAGCCGCCAGGAAGGAAAGCTGCAATGGGGAAAAGGCCTGAGATCTTCCTGGACCCATTCCCGTCGCTGGCCTGGCAGGACAGACGTGGCTGCAGGTCACCCCCGGGGGAAGCCTGCCACTGCGCCCCGGACACCCCGCCCTTCCCCGGAGACTCCAGTTTCCACACGGCTCTCAGGAGAGGCTAAGGGCGCCCCGGGGGACAGCTGAGAGCAGCAGAGTCAAGGCCGGGAGACAGAGGCAGACGAAGCCTGTCCCTCCTGCTACAGAGGGACGACCCTGCCCCAGCCCCCGCAGCCCGTCACTTCTAAGGGTCCCAAAGCAGTTCATCTGCTGAGGCAGGAAACAGAGTCCAGGCCAGCGAGGCCTCAGGTTTGGAGAAGTGGAGCATAACGCAGGAAATGAACCCAAACTGGTTTCCGATCCTGGTTCGTCTGTCCGTTCGCCGGGGGAGCTCAGGCCACCTTAAACTCTGGGCCCACCTTCCCTCCCGTAAACGGGTGAGCAGGCTCTTCCTGCTCCCAGGCCCCCCGAGTCCCGTCCTCCCGTGAGACTTGACATCCAACCTCGGCTTCTGCTCCTGAGCCGAGGGGCACGATTTCTGGCTACTCTGGGCTGAAAGGAAGTGGATCGCTGGCTCCTACCCTCCTACGGGAAGATTCGGGAGCTGGGGGGTGGGGCAGGGGCGAGGTGGAAACACTTGGAGGCAACAGGCGGTCCTTCATCTGCAAGAGCAGACCCTCCACCAGGGGAGAGCACAGCGGGGACTCCGCTGAGGGACAGGCGCGTTCCTGGAGGTTTCCATGAGCGCCGGGCTAACCTGGGCACCGGGCAGCCCAGCAGGGAGCACATGCTTGAAGGCAGGAAGCTGCACCCGCAAACAGCCTGCGGCCACTTTCACACCAGGTGGCCCAGCGCCCTACCTGAGCCAAGTACAAAGCAACGTCTTGAACCACAGGATCGCAAATGCTGAAAATGAGGCCAGGAAGTAGCCAGCTTCCTCGGGGGCTCATAACAGGCCAGGGCCTGCTGCAGCTACAGAAGACCCCCCCAAACCTGTGGGGTCTCCGCACCCAAGGAGCCTGGGAATAAGCCCGCAGCACGCTGCCGCCCTCGCATGGACCTGGCCCGCGGTGTCCTGGGCCCAAAGAGGCGGCGACAGCTGGTGAACCACGCTCGGGCTCCCGCAGCCACGGCCCCGGCCCGGGCATTGGCTGACACACGCGTCCACGAGCCGATCGCAGCAGCGCTCAGCGGGGGAGGAACTGAGGAGTCGTCGGGGGCCAGGGCCAAGCAGTCAGGCCCAGAACTCGTCCTGCGTCCACGGCAGCAGCTCCACTCCCACGACAGAGCCGAGGCTCAGACACAGAGAGGTCTCCGGGCCAAATCTGATGCACTTTTCATTTACTTCCAGTTTTAAAATGACAGACCACACTCTAGAAGCGGGGTGCGGAATCTGATGCACCCGTACAGGTCCCCAGTGTAGCCGCTCCTGCGTCCGGTCACTCGGTGCCTTTGCGACCACACACCCGGCACCTTCCCGCACTTGCCAACACCAACCTGAGGGAGGACAGAAGCCCAGACCCAAGGGATGGCCGGTCCCGACGTGCAGACACGCATGGGGAAAGGCGGCACAGCCAGGCCCCAGACCCACGACCTAACACACGGCGCCCCTCCACAGCCGAGCCCCTCCTCCCCGCTCGCCCCGCAGGGCCCTCCCGGGCATCACGGCTACGGGCAGAGACCAGCCCCAGGAGTCAGGCCAAGAACGCCCGTTTGGGCTGTGAGACGACTCCTCACGAGGCCGCCAGGCTTTTCCTTGCCCCGGCTCGCGGCCACCGAGCACCCACTCCTCCAGTGCGGGAGCACAGACGCCAGCTCCGAACCCAGCTCGGGAACTCCGCGTCTTCCGCAGGCGGGCGGGAACCCAAGAAAGCAGCCTCGATCCTTTGTTTTCTGTGAAATTTATTGTTTCCACATTAAAAGATTTTTTTGAGGGGAAGTATTTTCTTCTCTTTTAACCACATGATGATCCTATACAGCCGCCCGAGTCGGACAGCGTCAGTCGTTAACATGCCATATGAATTCTGAATAAATAAAAGCTACAAAGCCCAGGTTATATACAAATACCTCGGGCGGTAATGTTTACAAACCTATGTACAGTAACACAAATGTAAACAGTAATGCAGCATGAGAGGAACCAAAGGACGCACAGAACCACCACGGCGGCCGGTCTGCCCCAACTCAGGCGCGCAACCTTTCCTAACACGACCGCGCGGGCCCTCAGAGGACAAAACAAAACACTCTGGAAGATGTCACTTAACTGAAGGACCAGAAAGCTGGCCAGGAGGTTGCCCCCGCCCTCACCCGGAGCCACGCGGAGGAGGAGACCGCGTGGAGACCCCGCGCCATGGGCGCCCTGGCCCAGAGGCTCCTGCTCCCTGCAGATCAGACAGGCGTCTCGCTCTCCGGGAGGCAAGTCTATGGAATGGTAACTGCTAAAGTAAAATCAGAAGGTGCAGAAAATGTTCCCGAATTCAGTGACCTTCCTGACTCTGTGCCAGCAACAGGCCAAACTGTGGGGAGTGGGGCTGGGGGACACATGATCGTGAGCACTGAAGATGCTTGGGCAGGAGCTCAGGAGGAGGGCACGTGTTGACCTGATCTGGGGGAGAACTTCTAGAAGGTCTGCCATGTCTTAAACACAACTAAATCCTATCGGTACAGCAGGGTGGGAGCTATGAGGCAGGTGTGACGAATGGGTACTTCTGCATCCAGTGACCAAGGAATACATGTACCTATCACCTTGTGACCCACAAAAGTGCAATCATGTGAAACCAACGGCACCACGGCGAGAAGAGAAAATAGCCAGCATTGATAGCGCGCAGAGTCCTGGGGCTGGGCGGGGCCCGGCAGCCGCCACCCCATGCAGCCTGCCCTCTGCCGGCCACGGGGAGGCGGACGCAGGGGCCCAGGCTGGGCCCAGGCACCGAGGGGTGAGGCGTGGGTGTCCTGGGCTGCTGGAGGAGGGCAGGAGCCCCCACCTGGAGGCCGGGCACTCACACACTGAGAGGCAGCATACCCGGTGCTGACGACGGGCGCGAGGAGCCCAGACCAGGAGGCGGCGGTGCTGGGTCAAAGCCGTTTACTGCCCTGTGGGGGTGACCAGAGCAGAGAGGGGAAGGGAGGGGAGAAAAGAGAGAAAGAGAGACGGTCATTGAAAATCACTCAACACACAACAAGAAATGCACCCGCTCTCTATAACCAGCCCTCTTCCTGCCCAGGGTGGAATCGCGGCGGCCCCGGGAACGGTGGCGCCTGGAAGGCATCAGCGGGTCAGAGACTTTGGAATCCGAGGACGGAGAGCAACGCGCTCACGTGCTTCCTCCTCGACGACTCCGTCCTGCCGGCCGCCGCCACCACAGCCCCGACTTGGCCGCAGAGCTAGCCCGAGTGTCTGTCTGAAGGAAGCTGTCTGAACAGATACTGGTACAACTAAACGAGAAGTTTACAGTTTACACAGCCTCAACACACTCCAGAGTTCTTTAACCGCTCGGGAAAACACTCAGAACGTAACTGATGCTCCGTGGGAAAAGCAGCAAGTCACCAAACTGTAAAGGTTCAATGCCGGGCAGGAAGAGAGTAAGTGACAGACATTCTAGACTCTAACATACAAGCTCTTTTATGGACCGACCTTCTGTGTAGCTGAATCCAGAATGTGGGGGCTACCCACACACATGCACATACATGTGTATAAAATCATTTATGTTCTAGAAAGAAAATTTAACGATGATAACTTTTCCTCCATCTGGGTGGTGGATAACTTTGTTTACTACTTTCCACTTTTTTAGTGTTTTCCAAATCTCCTACAATGTACATGAATATCTTAGGGGAGAAAAATAACTCTGTTAAGTTGTTTGGCAATATGGGCAGGTGTGTCTGTGGACATGAGGGGCCCGCCCCGCCGGCCCCCACCCAGCCCAGAGCCCGCAACCCGGCCCCAGCGTGCAGGAGTGAGGATGAGCATCCCGGCTGCCCTCGGGCCCCGGCCACCCCCCCAGACCCGCCCACCAGCCCCCGCCCCAGCACCCCCGCCCCCCGGCCAGCCCGCACAGCCACCAGAAGCAGAGAGGGGGAAAGCCAGTGTTGAACCCTCTCTCAGGAAGCCACTCCAGCCTTCCATGCATCACGCTTCCCAGGAAGGTTCGTCCTGGCAGCAATACAGGAGGTGCGGGCAACTGTGGGGGCTGTGCCGAACCCACAGGCCATCGCTGTCCCCCAACCTGCTCAGCAGCAGGGGCCAGGACCTTGAGTATAGGCTCAAGGAGAGAGGTTCTCTTAAAAGACAAACCAAACCAAACAGGGGACAGGGGTGCAGACACACATTTCCCACAAAGACAATGCTTTCACGCGCTGCGGAAGTAAGTGTGACCTCAGAGAACCGGCATGCAGGGAGACGAAGAACCAGCTGACGACGTCGAAGGGCTAACGTCCAAAGTAAATGACCCCGGAGTACAGAAGTGAGTCTGAAAACAAGCCACCCCGTGCAGGCCAAGAGCAACTGGACAGCCCGCAGGCACGTGACTTCTTGCTGCACAACTTCCTCCCCCAGATGTGCACCCGGGACCCTCCCTTTTCTTTCTGGGCCTTTCAATCACCTGCTCCCTGTCCTCCCACAGCCGCCTGGGCCTCTTCCCAGGGCCGGCCCGTGCCCGCACCCCCCTGCAGCCTTCACAGCACCAGCCCCCTGCCACCATGTGTCTGGCCAGTCCCAGAACCTCAGCGAGAACCAGGCGGGCCTCACGCACAGCCTCGGCCTCAGACACATGGACGTCACACTCCGGCCGGCAGGACGAGCCCCACTGGCACCAGGAAGCGGCCGGCACCCGTCCACAGGGGATGCGAGAGCCCCACGAGAAGGACCCATGCACGCAGATTTTGGGGCTGGGACCCCCGCAGTCTCGAGCCGGACAGACTTGAACACACGGTAAGCTCACCCCTATCGCTCTGCGGCCAAAGAGAGCAAAGCAAGCAAATGCCAGCCTGGGCTCACCTCCGAGCGAGTCAGTGGGCGCCCAGGCCCCACTATCCCTTCCCAAGCTCCTCTCGCAGGAGGGCACCTGACAGCCCTCCACAAGCCGCAACTCCTGCGGCAACTCTGACGCGGCTCGGCTCTAAGGGGACAAACAGCAGTGCAGACCAGCAGAGAAAAGGAGAAAAGAAACTCAACGGGCCATTTCCCCGCGTGGACCGAAATGAGAATTCCCAAAGTGAATGCCAGATGCAGCCCAGGGAGCAAAACCCACCAGGCTCGCACCCAGCACCTCTCTCCTGAGGCGAGGAGTGAGACGGGAAAGGCCAGAGGGAGAAGCTGTCTGGTGAGGTCCCTTCCCGCGAAAGCCAAGCTGTGCCACGGGGATAGGGTTCCAGAGGAGCAACACCACCACGCTCCCCCCATGTGCTGCAGGGGATAGCAAGAGAGCCACAGGGAAATGTCCCGGTGGACGACATGGGACTGAGTGGAGGGGGGGACATGCAGGAAGGGAGAGACAGATCTGGGGAATCATCTATGCAGGAAGCTTCCAGAAATGTCATGATCTTACCACCAAAATCTACCTCAAGAATCTGAAAAGTAGCAGATCTAGCCACGCACAGGGCCTGCGGTCTATGTGATACGGCAGATGACGTGGAGAGCGGGACAGAGCTGTCAGCGGGACGGGAAGCCTCAGTGCCGGAGCAGGGCACGGAGACGAGATCCCGCCCGGCAGCAAGGGCCAGTGCAGCCGTGTGCGGCCCGGACAGGACACAAGAAGGTCAGAGCAGGCATGGGGAGCGCCGGCAGAGCCCCTCCCGGCCCGCCGGCCTAGGGAGATGGAGCAGCAGATGCTCAGACAAGCTCCAGCCCGTGCTGCAGATGGAAATGGCGCGCTCTTGGAAGGGCAGATCTCACACACACACGTGCACACACACACGTGCACACACGTTTCCCTCTACCGTCCCGCTGTACGCAGGGCATCCGAGAGTGAGCAGGAGGGCAGAGTCCCCGGGGGGCAGTGAGGCTCCATTACCACCAGCGCCCACCTTGACCAAACAGAAGACTCTGGGCAGCAGGAAGAAGCCCCGTCTCCCGGGATGTCAAGCCAAATGGGATTCCAGGGCCTGACAGCAACGCACGACCCCCACACCAGTACCCCCGGCAGTGTCACCGCTACAGCGCTGACCCCGGACCAGGAGCACTGCCAGGCCGGCTAGCTACCCCACCCCCCACCCCGACCCTGCCCGGGGCCCGAGACCACGAGCTGCCTCCGCGGTGAGCAGCAGCAAGGGCAGGGAGGCGGCTCGGACCGGAGCCTGAGCGCTCACTCTGGGGCTGTAAGTCGGTTAGAGCAGAGTCAGCCCCATGCGTTAGTGAACCGAGTGTGTTAGTGGGTCCTGCACCACACACCGGGATGGAGAGAGAAGCAGAAAGAGCACAGCAAACAAATTCAGTTACCCATGAACAACGTGGGAAATATGACCTTTTCTTGCCTAATAAAAAAAAGGAAAAAACATTAAACAGTAATACAAGTCCTATTTTCACAGCCCTAAAATTGGTCTACGCCCCCACTACACACAGCCCCACCGAGACCTCACTTGCTTACAAAATCAGGGTAAGGGACACTTAAGAGGCTGAATGAAAATGACAGCGAAAACAGACGGGGTCTGAGAGAAGTCCAGTGACCACATCACACGTGGGGCTCAGATGACGAGCACGAGAGGCTGTTGGTGGTTGGAGGACATGGAGCAACGCCAAGAAGGAGGTCCAGAACCTGGCAGAAGCCAGCACAGACTAGAGGAAACCCTGTTTGCAAGAAACCCTCAAACCACCAGAACATCCAGAGTGTTTTTGGGCCACACGTGCGGACACCTACCGAGGGGCAGCATCTGGTGGGCGTGGTCTGGCCTCAGGGCGTCACAGGACCTGGGGGGGCGCATCTCCCCCAAGGAGCACCCCACCCCAGGTCTTTAGGACAGCTGGGGAAGACACAGGGACTGCAGACACACTCCTCGGGAGCAGGAGGCAGGGCAGGCAAGTTCCCGCTGGAGGCTTTTGAAAATGGAGTTTTAGTTTTCTCTCACGCTACAACTCCAAGCTACATGCTTGGACACTTGGAAATGGTGTTTTGACTTCTACCTGCCAGACTCCATAAGGGAGGTGGGGGCTGGGACGCTCCCCCGCTTCCTGTCACAGCTGGTGCACGCCGCCGTGACTACCTAGTCAGCAGGCCACTGGAGAAAGGCCAGAGTTCAAAGCCAGGCCAGAAGGAAGCCAGAATCAAAGCAAAGCGGCAAGGAGTCACAGACACGCGAAGCCACTAGCCAGCCTCGGGCACGTGGCAACCAGACACGTGGCTCACGAAGCAGGTCAATGGTGGAGTGTGGACGTACGATCCGCTCCGCTGTGACCCGAACCCGTGAGAAGAGGCCAACCCACAAAAGCATATTTAATCCTTAACAGAAACAGTACAGTTGAAAACTTGTACTACTTCAAGCGAAACTAGATGTATCATCTGCAACTGTTTCTCTCAGGAAGCCCATCTCCAGGCCTGGTTCAGGAAATAAAGCCTGCGCGTGCATCTAGAATGTTCCTCAGAGGACAGGCACTCCGTGACAGAGGCCAAAGCTCCTGGTTCCGGGCGATGCTGAGCCCTCCGCAGCCCCCTGAGATGGGGTCCAACTCTGGGCCTGGCGCGCCCCCGTGCCCCGCACTGGGGCCACGTGGAAGCCAGGAGCAGGGACCTGCCCGGAGAGCGGTCCCTCCCCGCCATGACTGCTCTGAGGACTGCGGGAGAGGCATCGGCCAGGCCCCCCGTTTCTGGTTCCTGCCCATTCTCACGTTACAGAGCACCCGAGGCAAGAAACAGGGTTCCAGAAACAGACCCGTAACTGCCCCACTGGAGGTGAGTTAGACGTCACACAAAGTACAAGTTGGACAAAATAATTAGGTACTGTTTTCAATGGTCGTCTGCCCCTCAACTTTCCCTGTGTTATTCGGGAGAAATGGCAACTTGAATGTGAAATATCTATTTATTCCACTTGCCATTATGATATAAAGATGGGGACTCCTCAAGGTTTCCTGAAACTCCTAAACCTAAGGAAAACTGATTTTATGCTGACTCCCCCGAGGAAACCCAGTGGTTAGAATGAAGCTCTGACTTACTTATCGCCAGTTCGGAACATGCTCCTTAATGAAGCATGTGCCCTTCAGGGTAGAAGTCCCCGAAGGGAGAGAGGGAAACCAGAACACCGCACTCCACAAGGGTGGACATAAAGAAGCTTTTCAGAGCGGCCTGTGTGCCGGGTCAAGTCCTCCAGAAATGTGCCACGGTTACAGAGGAAAGCAGAAAATACAAGCTCCCTTAAGAAACTGAAACTTCTCTAGACTCGTATCTGTCCTGCGTGCAGAGAACAGGACCAGATGGGCTCTACCACTCAAAACAGAGACCAGAGCAAGGGAGCTCAGTGCCTCGATGCTGTTCCAAGAACAGCCACCTCGTGGAACCTGGTCAGCAGAGCCAAACCACGGGTCCTGACCGCTCGTTAGCTACAGGACAGCTTTCAATCAAGTATAACCATGCAGTGTCATTTTTGGACTTGAGGGAGAATGCTGCACGGACAGGAAGATACTGGCCTGTAAGTCATGATGGGGGCTGGGTTGCAGGGTCGTATTTAAAGTCTAATCCCGTAAATTTTTAAAAGCGTACAGCAGATGCATAAAAATATAATTTTACCTGCCTGAGAGAGTAAGTGTAAGGATGTAGCAGTGTGAAAACAGAAAACATCTACTCTTCACTTCTACACAGCGGCACCAACTGAAATTTTTTTGCATTAAGGACGTACCAGTGCTTCAATCTTATGCCATTTTCTTTTACACTCTCAACTCCCCAGAAAACATCTTCACATCATACAAAACTTGTGTCCCCTAAACTGTTATCTGATCCAGTGGTTTCATATTTTTCCAAAATCCTCAGACAGCAGGTGCCTTGCAGAGTCTACACACACACGGTGTTTTCTACCCTTACAAATATCAGCCAGGCAAGTCCACCAGCCTTCAAGTGCCTTGAGAACAAGAACTATTACCACGTCGTATTTAATTCCCAGAGCCTAGCACAGCTACCTTGCAAGAGTGTTTCCCAAGACAGAAGCATGAGAGTTCTCGGGGCAACCGACTCCACGGGGACCAGAAGACAACAGATTTATGTCCCCTAAGACCTGAATGAAACTGCTTCAGGTAGGCTTATCAAACTGAGTTTACCTTTTCAAAGTAAAATAAGCTCACTTAATAAAGTGCAACTTTACTAACTCAAAAAAAAAAAAAAATCATTTAAAATGTCCAAGATTGGGGCGCCTGGGTGGCTCAGTGGATTAAAGCCTCTGCCTTCAGCTCAGGTCATGATCTCAGGGTCCTGGGACCAAGCCCCGCATAGGGCTCTCTGCTCAGCGGGGAGCTTGCTTTCCCCTCTCTCTCTGCCTGCCTCTCTGCCTACTTGTGATCTCCGTCTGTCAAATAAATAAAATCTTAAAAATAAATAAAAAATAATAAATAAATGTCCAAGATTTACTTACCCTTTGTCAAAGAAAGACGTATGTCCTGATCGAGAGAACTTCGTGCCGTTACTATTCATGACCCCACAGTTAACATTCCCTGAAATATAGGATTTCCGCGATGCTTGGTCCTTTGCAAAATTCCTGCAAGCTGCTAATTTGGATTCTAAAGCCTACAGAAAGAAGGAGGAATGATTTGGTTGTCAAAACAGTAGCTGTACATAAAAATCTGCATTTCAAACCATTTCTATTTCAAGATTAAAATTACAGTCTCTCTGTTGATCATGGTAGCCGTTCAAGCCACAATCGATCACCTCTCTGATGGAAAGGGAGAATTTTATGCTGACGGCTATCTAATGACCTCAGAATAATGCACTTATTCCTCTCAGTATTACTGGTGGACACAGATATAAGCCTGACCTTACAACTAAGCAAAATGTGGTACAAGTAGACAAATCCCAGGTCTCTTGACCCTCTCTGAGTTGGGGACTATTAGAAAGCCCCTAATATCCTTATTCACGACATTCATTCATTCAAATACTTGCTGAGTGTGATCACAGAGCAGGCCCAAACTGCGTCTGAGGCCTCGGTGGGACAGACGCACAAGGGCAAGTCCTGGGTCTGGCACCGGGGAAAAGAGTGAGAGTGGTCTAGAAATGAAAACTTAGAAGATGTCACACCAGGTAGCAGACAAAGTCAGGCTGTGAATGGGGAATTCAAGGACAGAATTCTGAATAAAATCATCCCAGGAAGGGTGCGGCAGTTGAAGACCCAATCAGATGACACAGGAATGGGCAGAAAGGCATGAGGCAGACGTGACACAGCATCAGAGAGGCAAAGGAAAGAAAGCATTTAAAAAAAAAAAAAAAAAGCCAGTGTTCAATGTTCCAAGCAAAAGTAGGGCAGAACAGCGTCCACTGGATTCGACGGTGCTGAGCTCATCGATGAGCGATTCTGGGGGAGGGAGCAGGAATCAGAGTCCGGACCAGGAAGTCTGGGGAGGGGGCACGCCATCACCCACGCTAACAATAAACGGAGGCCTGCTTTCGAAAAGCTTGGCTGTGAAGGGAAGAGAGAACGAGGGTGACAGCTAAAGACAGACGTAGGGTAAAAAAAAAAAAAAAAATGGCTGCTTTTTACTTTTGCTTTTTAAGATTAAAATATTATGCAGTTTGTAATACACAGATATTACATGTGACACGTGGCAATCCATGAAGATTACACACAGATACTGAAACACAGTAAGAGGCTAAAAGCACAGGAGACACTGATGAGAGGGTGGGGAGGGAAGGGATCCAAGGCACAGAGGGACAAAGTCAGCCGTGGGCAGGAACATAGTCCTTGGAGCACGGCGGTAACGAGGAAGAATGACTACAAACAGGTACTAACAGAGTAATAACAGAAGTCAAAGAGAATAGACAGGTGGAGATCAGGTGGCCTTGATTTCTCAGTGCAAGAGGATACGGGGCGGGGGCTGGAGCCTCCAGTTTGAGGCAGCGGACGGAGGACAGAGAAGCAGGGAGGGAAACTCCGAAGAGCGCACGGGGCTGGCGGGGAACCACACGCCCAAGGTCCCAGCGGCCTCTAGGAAGGTGGACCATCAGCCAGACGGGGACTCCCAAGGTCACCTTTCTGCACCATTTCTGAACAAATTATGTAAATTATGTAACGTCATAAGCAAAACAAACAAGGACCAGAGAAAGCTGCTGCGGACATGAAGCCCGTGAACAGGCAGAAGAAGCCCAGGAAGAGAACTGGGGCAGCGCCCCTCAGGGCACCCAGCAAAGAGGGCATCGGTAAGAAGCTACAGACACAAGACGTAGCCGAGAAAGGACAGGCTTCTTCTACCCCCCAAGAAAAAGAAGGTAAGTAACAACGCCAGGAGAAGGAAAAAACATACAAGTCAGCTCTGATACAAAAATGAAAACACGTGGTATGGTTCTGAGTGAGTAAATGATTAAAAAAATCCCTGAAACATCTGTCGAGTGACAGAGATAAACAACCCAGGAACCCAGGCTCTCCTCTGTGATTCTGCAGCGTACAACCCACACACGGGCGGAGTACAGTAGAAGCAGCTCACTGATTTTCAATTTTCAGAACCAACTAATGGAGCGTTCATGACAGGACGGAGAGAAAGACACATGCAGCAAGGAGCTGAGATAGGGTCTAATAAACTCAGAAACAGGATTAAGCATGCCATTTAAAGTTTCAAAATTACCAAAAGAACAAAGTTAAAAAGTGGGAGATGGGAGTTAAATTCTTCATCTTACTGCTTGAAGCTGGTAAGATACCAAAAAATAAGCACATTATTTTGATTTCTGGAGCCAAATACCACAACTCTTACAACAAATAGGTTTTTAAAAATGGTTGTGCTAGGAGGGACAATTACTCTATAGACTTTGTGCATGTTGCTTTTTACAGCAAATTTGAAACACAGATTCAGAATTAATGTGATGGTCAGAAAATAATGTTGTAAGCCAGAAAGAGCCTCCCGTTTCTTCATTATGTAAAGTAAAATCCAATTTCTGCTTTTGTCAGAAAATGTCTCTCACAAACAAGTAAGTGAAGGGGCGGTGGACAGCGGGCAGTTTCAGGGGAAGATTACTGAAAAGAGAGGTAAAAGTTGCCCAGGGAAACAGGAAAAGGAGCCCACGCATGAGATGCTAACTTCACGGTGGCATGAATCCCCAGTTATCTAACTGCTTCCTGAGATCCAGATTCAGGGAAGGTGACCGCCGATGGCCAGACTGACCCGGACCGTAGGTCTCCTCCTCGGCCAAAAAGACCATGAGTCGGCAGTGACAGAGGAAGCCATCTGTGGGGTCACCAACGAGCAGGAAGAAATGAAAGCAAGAATGGCTTTCACTCATTCACCCAGAGTCCCACTGCTGATGGGGTCAAAGAGCAGGCATTCTACCAAGCAAAAACTGAATAAGCAGAAAAACAAGTGGAAGACTTCAAAAGCTCAGTTGGAAGCCAAGGTCAGAGCCAAGGAGATAGCACAGAAGCTGAAGCGGCCGAGAGCGAGGAGATGGGCGTGACCAAGAGCACAAAGTCCTGTCCGAGGGCCAGTGCTGAAGTCCTCCGGGGACAGAGCTCATGGGGAGGCCACGCAGAGGGCGACCTGCGGCAAGAACAGGACCCAAGAATGGGATAAGACACACAGCAGGCGGGAGAACAGTTACCTTGGGAAAAGACGGAGGAGTCATGAGGCAGAAAGAGCCAAGGGGAAACCAAAGAAAGCCCCGGGGATCTCCAGAGCGCAGCGCACCGGGCCTCCCGCAGGCGCCCCGGCGTGTTTGTCTGCCTCCATCTCAGCAGATCCCTGCACGCTCCTGCCTCTCTGAATCATCACAGCCTTCCCCACACGCAGGAATCCTTTTTCGCCTTCTCTCGCCCCAAATTCAGAATTCAACACCAGGGCAGTACCTCGGGCTAAAGGGCTGAATACTCACCCCGACTTTCCGTAAGAGGTCCCCCACGATGTTGAGCGCGGAGATCCGAGCAGAAGGAGTGAGCGGACTGGCACCAAAGCCGTTTGGTATAGCTAGAGGGAAAAGAAAGGGGGGTGATTACACTTGCAGGCGTCTTTCCCTTTTGTGGTCAGGTGTCCCTGAGCAGGATACACTCAGTGACAGGTCAATACGGTGTTCCAAACTGGGGACACGAGCTATAAAACGGAGACACCATACACTGTCTCCTTCAGCTGATGGCTATTGAGACGATCTCCAATTTTACATCACAAATAACGCTAAAAGGGCACATATCGTTAAAACATCTAGACGGATATTTCCAGAGAAGAGATTCCTAAAAATAGAACTGCTGGACCAGAGGACATGGCCCTTTCATCCACCTTAAGAGATCCTGCCAAAACGCTGATAAGGTCATGCCAATGTCAGTGATCTGTACGGTGATGCCCTCAATAATATTAGATGTGATCTTTTTTTTTCCTTTGGTCAATTTGACAGTCATTTTGTTTTCTCTTTTGTTTCCTTAATAACTAGACATTTGAATCTCTTCTGGAAGTCATGTTTATGATTTATGATTTGATACTGGGTTGTCTTTCCTTCAATCGATGGGCTAGGGCGCTGGACACCACAGATGGCCCCCCTTTCTCTCCTCGATCTTGAATTTCTCAGCGTGGCATTTACCTTTCAAACTTTCTGCTCTAGAAGTGGGGGAAGTTTTGGCTTCTTCACCTCAATATTATAAAATGTTGCTCCTATCTCCTCCTAATGCTTTCTTAGTTTTTTTTTTTTTTACATTTAGATCCTTTTAATTCAACAAATACCTAATTCTTTTTTCACCCAGAAGGATAACCAATTGTACTAATACCATGTCGTGAACACTCTTCTCAGCTGAAATGACACTTTACCTACATGAATTCCCATTATACTTTAGTTCCATTAATCTATTAGTTTGTCCCACCGGAAATAGGCTGCTTTCATTGCTACAATGTTAAAATAGCCTGTGGTATCCTAAAGGAGAAAGCTTCTTGTTATTAAGCTAATCCAAACTTTCCTTGGCACATTTATTCTTCAGTGTAACTTTAAAACTTGCCAACTTAAAAAACCCTGTGTTGACTTTTATTAGAAATTTAAATTGCTAAAAACAAATAAATAAAAATTAAATTAAAAGGAAATTTAAATTGCTGACTGATTCGGGGACTGATTCGGCTGCTGCAAGAGGCTTCCCGTTCAAAATCGGGGTTCTCCAGTGTGACAGTCACATCTTTTTGAACGCCCCTCAGCAAAGGTTCTCGGTCACGCACATTTTTCAATTTACTTTTGAGGTACTGTACACGATGGGTAAGGGCTCTTGAGCTAAACTTCGAGAGGCAAATCCATCGCTGATGGCTACAGACTGTGGAAGCCTTAGTAAGTGGCCCACACTTCGAAGAGGGCTGGTAACAGCACTTATGAAGTCGTTGTGAAGTTTAAATTAGTTAATACACTCGTTAAATGCCTAGCACACTGTAAGTACTCAGGCCCTCACGCAGCTGTTACTCTCTCATCCACTGTCCAGAGTCTCATCAGCTCGTAGTTGCTTTGCTGTGCGGCCGTTCGCTGTCCCTGGCCTCCAGAGTGTCATCACCCTGAAGGCAGCGCCTTCGCCGATTTACCAGGAGCCCCTCGGCATCCAGAATAACATGCGGCATCCGACCGGCGCTCGACGAGATAGAAAGAAGCTGCCGTACTTTTCTCAGCAGGGACTTCCAGATCTCTTCTTCCCTTATTCTCCTCAAATTATGAAATCTGTGCTTTTATGGTGAGTTGTCTTAAATGCTTTTTGGCAACAGGCGCTGTTACCAATAAAACACAGTTACAGGCAGACCACCGAGCTCAGCCCCTCAGTCTCGCACTGACCTCTCTCATCTCCTGCTTCTCCTTAGCTGTGTGCCGCCTTCTCCATCACGCAGTTGCTGGGAGTCAACGCACAGCAGCTCTCAGGTTAGTGAAAGTCCTTGCCACCAGCTAAAACTGCGTGGGCCCGGACCAAGATTCCGGCCTTAGGGCTGACGTATCTTAATCCTGTGCCACAGCGAGCAAGCTCTGCGTCCCACTGACCTCGCCCAGCTCAGCGCAACCAAGTCCCTGAATTAAACCTCTAATGAGCTATTACAGGATGTACACGTCTCTGGGATTTAACCTCGAATGAAGCTCCACACTATCCTGATTCGTGCTTAACTAACGCATTTTCAGAACTTACCTGCAGAATTCTAATTAGCGCCTAAAAGCAAACCTTTGTTAAATCTCAAATGTTAGGAATTCTGAGATCCTCAAATGCCCAAGGAGCCATTCTGAAACATGGACAGTGAGGGCTGCTGGTGACTGCCGTCATCTACACCCGACCTGCTCTAGGTCCTCAGCAACAAACAGCACAAGGACACCCAGCAACACCCAGCACTATACAGCATTGCCACACTTCTCACCGAATGAGACCTTATGACTAGGAGAAGGCAGGGTGAGTTATCTATTCAAGGGCTACAGAGCACCAGAAATCCAGCTAATGCAATTGAGAAACTGAATTTCCAATTTTAACTCGATTACATTAATAAAAATGTAAAGAGTCGCATGTGGCTAGTGGCTACGGGGTGGGCTGGCACAGACATGGAAGGTCACTATCTGCCTGGAGACAAAACCTTTTCCTATCATTCTGCAAGATAAAATCCTTTATTAAAAAAAGAGGGTGGGGTGTCTAGGTGGTTCAGTGGGTTAAAGCCTCTGCCTTCGGCTCAGGTCATGGTCTCGGGGTCCTGGGATCAAGCCCCACATCGGGCTCTCTGCTCAGCGGGGAGCCTGCTTCCCCCACTCCCTCTCTGCCTGTGATCTCTCTGTCAAATAAACAAATTAAAATCTCTTAAAAAAAAAGGGGGGGGGAGAGAGCTTCATTTTGGGAAGAAAAAAGTATGAAGGAGTGGGAGTGGCTGAAACATCTATAAGCTGGAAAAATGAAATAAATCTGAATTAAGTGCTTCCGGGTTCCTCTCTAGGGTTCTATGCAGTGTCTGCTAAATGGCTTTTCTGCTTATCTAGATTTTTAAAAAACACCTTTGCTGATGGCAAAAGAACATTCTTTATGTACTAGTCATCAGTGACTCCAAATGTCACCTCTGAAAAGGGCAGCCACGGGGGCATGTAGGAGGACGGCCTAGTCTGCCTGGGCCAGTCTTACGAGCGTGAAGGGCAGCTTGACCGGTCTTGGTAGGCTGCGTGTGAAGGCGTCTAGTCTCCAAGATCGGTTCGTTCTCATGGCAGGGAGAGTCAGGGTTAACAGTAGTCAGCTTCCAGAGTAAGACAGCAGAAAGGCCACTTTCTTTCTTCTTTTTCCATTTTCCGACATGAGTGTGGATGACTGCTAGCATCAAAAGATCAACTTTGCCTGAAAACCTTCAACTTTTTAACATCGCAACTGACTGAGGCACTCATGTTACACGGGGCCACTGTCGCCCTGCTCCCCGTGTGGTTGTGGCCCCGGAAACCAACCTCTCTTTCCACCTCACAGCGTGCATGACCTCACCAACTCTACCCTGAAACCTCACATGCACCTCACCCCGCCTCCCCAGCAAACCCTCCCCAGCTGGACAACCTCCCGCAGGTTCAGAAAGAAAAGACATCACAAACCTTTTGGTGAAGGAAAACTGTTCTCCGTGCCCTTGCCAACAGGAGTGGCTGGCAAAGAAAGTGACGCCTGGACCGCAGAGTCCATCTTTTCGCAATCAAGGGTCGGAGAACTGGGGGCCGACTTTCTGGTTACCTCCTGTTGTCTTTCCCGGACTGCCAGTTCTTGTCTTAAATCTGCAAAACGGCACAGATAACAAAACTCACCAGAGGAAGCAAATCCATCCAGCAAAGTCACCTCTGAAATGCCATAAAGACGTCCTTCCTAAATTACGATTTCCTGAAAGTGGTTTCCTATGTAACACTTTTTATTTGTTGGGGTATAAAAATGGTAACTCTACTGCCTAAATGATCATTGAGAGAGCTAGGATCAAATACAAATGCTCTTACCTAGAACAGTTAACTATGCTCATATGTTTAAAAAAAAAAAAAAGAGCAGAGTCCAAAGAACTCGCAGTGAGCCTGCACAACACAAAACTAAATACTCTTTCCACCGCATTTGTTTTTATTTTGAAATGATATCCACTTTGGGAACTACTGCAAAATCAATGAAGTTCATTTTTGTAATTTTAAACGGGTTGGTTTTTTTTTTAATAAAAGATTTTATTTATTTATTTATTTGACAGACAGAGATCACAAGTAGGCAGAGAGGCAGGCAGAGAGAGGGAAGCAGGCTCCCTGCTGAGCAGAGAACCTGATGTGGGACTTGATCCCAGGACCCTGAGATCATGACCTGAGCTGAAGGCAGCGGCTTAACCCACTGAGCCACCCAGGCGCCCAGGTTGGTATTTTTTATTATCAAAATGCACTATATTGTTTTAGAAAGGAAGTATTCAAAACAGCTGCAATTTTTTTCTTACTTTCAAATACTGAATTTTTAAGCTAAAATTAACATTTTCTTTTCCAGTTACACAACTGATGTACAGAACACTCATGTTAAAAAAGGATACAAACTTGCCCCATTTCTGGGTATGTATCCAAATGTCTACCATGGATAAATAAAGAAAATGCAATACATGCATGTAATGGGAACTTATTCAGCCTCAAACAGGAAGGACATTGTGGCCCCAGCTACTGCACGGATGAGCCGCGGGGATACTACACTAAGTGAAAATGAGCCAGTCACAAGAGACCAGATACTGTGTGACTCCACATCTGCGAGGTTCCTAGAGCCGTCAGATTCAGACAAAGAAAGGGGAATGGTGTTTCCAGGGGTTGGAGGAGGGGAGGAGAGATGGACTGCTGCACACTATTATGCCTATGATGATTATACACCTTCCTTTAAAATTCTTCTTCCTGGGACACCTGGGTGGCTCAGATGATTAAGCATCTGCCTTCGTCTCAGGTCATGATCTCCAGGCCCTGGGATTGAGCCCCAGGTTGGGCTCCCAGCTCGGCAGGGATTCTGTTTCTCCCTCTCCCTCTCGATCTCTCTCAACTGAATAAACAAAATCTTTAATAAATAAATGAATAAAATTCTTCTTCCCTCCCTCTTTTATTCGTATGTGGTAAAATGCAGATTATAAAGAAGAAAATGGTTTCTACGATAAGTGCACAGACACAATGTTACTATTATGTGCCTAACACAAAATTATTTACATAGAAGCGAAAAGGAAAAAGCTAAACAAACCAGTCAAGATACACACAATGGTAGCAGTTAAAAAGGTTTTGGAAAACAGACCAGGGTCTGAATTCCAACTGAAAAGTTCCTTTTTTCTTTTTCATTTTTTTTTTTAGTGTTTGTTTGTTTGTTTTTTAAATTTGGGGGCGGTGGGAGAGAGCACGAGCAGAGGAAGAAGCAAAGAAGGAGAGGGAAAAACAGACTCTGTAGTAAGCAGGGAGCCCAATGTGGGACTCAATCCCAGCACCCCAAAATCATGACCTGAGCTGAAGGCAGACACTTACTGACTGAGCCACCCAGGCGTCCCCCACAACCGAAAAGTTCTAAGACTTTGGACAAAACTCAAACTCTCCATGCCTCAATTTTCTGACCTATAAAATGGTGATAACACTACCTACCTCTTACAGTTGACGCTGTAGACATTAAGAGACTAAAAAGCACTTAGCCGTAGTGCTTGACGAAAGTAGATAACGTACATAGCTTTAAAGGCGGTTCCTGAAGCTAGCATAGTCCTTGGGCTTAGGGATGGTAAGGTAAAGGATAAACATTCAGTTGTCAATTTTACCTCTTGCTTCATCCTTTAACCGTTGGACGGACACCAACAAGGATTCCTTTTCGTCAAGCTCACTCTCTAAAAATGCATTGCGTTCGATGGCCTGATTTAGCCTTTGTTCAAAGTCTTCCAGTGAAACTATTGTTGCCCTAAAATAAAATAAAATAAAATAAACTGAAGTCCACAAATTACATAAATAGCATGCAAAGAGCTAATACAAAAGGAAACTGTCAGTTTCCCTCATGGCATTTCCTGACCTGGAAAGCCTGGCCCGGCTGAACGAGAAGGGATCCCAGTCCCTTCCAGACTCTGGCAGCATTTCGTATCTCTGCCACTACTCTGGGCCATTCAATATATTCTCTTAAATTCCCACCAAAATTCATCGCAGTTCCTTAAAAGGAAGGCGTTTATTACACACTGTATCTCCCCACTGGATTTTAAACACAGAACAATTGAAGTTTACGTGTTTTCAGGAAGAAAACTTTTCAACGATTTTAGAGAACATTAAGAATTAACTAAGAATCTGTTTAAAACACGAAGTCCTAGGTCCCTATCAACTCGTCCTTCTGCATCCCTCAGCTTACTCATTTACAACAGACGGTGCCGGGCACCAACTATGCACCCCACCCCACTACGTGCTACTTGCTACAGAAACATCATTCCCTGACCTCCAGCTCGAACTCAAGGCTCTGGCCAACTTTACCAAATGCTTTCAACTGTCGAAAGGTCTCTCAACTCCACCTGCTCTCCTCCAACCTCCTGCCCTGGCTTAGTTCCTCAACTGCCCCCCCCCCGCCCCCGATCCTGGATCACTCCTAAATGGTCCTCTTCCCTCCAATGCCTCAGCATGACCCTCTCGAAACTCAGAATCTGATGCTACTCCCAGGCTTAACAAATTCTTCAAAGAGCCCTTCCTTGCCTCCAGAATGGAGAGAACACACAAGGCTCTCCCCACCCTGGCCCGACCACCCTCCGGCCTCATCCTGGTCAGCCACACCGTCTCCATGCGCTGCAAAGTGAAATACGCCCAGCTCCCGAGCCTTCCTGCCTCCTGGCCTTCACATCCCTCTCTCTACCCGCCTGGCCTCCTTCCTCCTTGCCTACTCTGCGGCAGCTGCAACGCCAGCGGCCGACGTGTCCCGCCCCCGGCTCCGTCCTCCAGTCCTCCACGCCCCGCAGCCGCCTGCACGCACTCCCTGCTGGAGCAGTTGTCATGAGAAACGTCCCCACATGTCACACCCAAGGCAGCCTCCCCTCTAGCACCGGGCCAGGCACTGAAGAGTCACCCACGTATCAATAATCGTACAGTGAAAGGATCTCAGTTTGGATGGTTAAGAAACAACGAATTCCAACCCCAAGGGAGCCGCTCCGGCCACACCACGCCGCACAACCGTGAGGGAAGCGGCACCCGCAAAAAACCCATGTGCTGGTGTGAAAGGCCAAGAGAAGGGAGAGGAGTAGGGATGGACAGACAGATGGGTGAGGAAGAAACTAGACTTCAGGTAGCAGACGCAGGGCGGACGAGAAACATGGGAGGACTGAGAACACGGAGGGAAAGACGGAGGAACGGAGGACACAGGCTTCAGAGGAAAACCAATAGGAACGACAGGGGGCGGGGCAGTGAGGAAGAAAGCCCTCGAAGGATCCAATCTGGGGACATGAGGATTTGCAGAGAGCGCTGACATGATGGGGCGTGAAACCGCGAAAGGCGATGTTCTAGAACCGAGACCCAGGGGACAGGCCGAGCGCAGAGACCCAGACCTGCCTCGCAGCCGCCAGCCGGACACCCGGCCCCGCTCACCGCTTGGCGCGCTCCAGGTCGTCGTTGGCCTGTTCCAGCTCCCGCACGTACTTGTGCAGCTGCTCCTTTATGGCCCGGGTCTGACTCAGGTCATCCTCCAGCACCGACACCTGCTTGTAGCTCTGCGCGTACTGGTGCTCTAGCTTCTCCTGGATGTGCAGGCACAGGAAGGCGAGGGTGTCACTAACACAGCTCTCCTTAGCAAAGAAGTAACCCAAGACATGGACATGGGGGAGACCCAAGGAACTCACCCGCCATCTGAGCTGATGGGAGAAGTAGCCCTCTCCTCCTTATAACATATAAAACTAAAAAAACAAAACAAAACAAAAACCCAAAAACCCACATTCATTCCAAGTATCTTAACTCAAATCTCGAGAGTCAACAACTCTCCTCTCAGAAAGAAATCGAGTAACGGTGTCTGAAAAGACGTACAACCACGAGACTGCTGCCTCAGAACCCCGCGAGCTAACTACGGCTCCGAGGTCCCCGCCTTCCCCCAGACCGCGCTCCCCCGGGCCCAGAGACGGCTCAAGCGCTGGGCAAAGGCCGGTGCTGAACAGCAGCAAACGGGCCTGATTTTTTTACTCGTGGAAATCCCTTTTTTAAAAGGAATTTTTTTTAACCCCAACTGAACTTCAAAACTAGAGAGACTATGAACAATAATGAAACAAACGTGTATTTCATACAAATACAATGTTAAAGCGACCTGGAATGAGGCCATCTGTGAAGCCGAGCCACTTCTGAAAACGATGGGAATTACAATACAATACTACAGCAGCAGTGTAGCTAAAAAACGGACAGCTACAGAGCTTCTAAGTGAACGCCTCAACACCAAGCCACCTGTCTCTGGTCCCATGAAAGGAAAGTTTATTTCAAAACTTGACTTTGAGCCTCTGCTACTTTCCCGCCGCCGGCCGCTTGGAGGCTCCGCCGAGAAAAGAGCTCTATTTCCCAGGTTGCCGCGAGCGGCCCGCGAGACCCCAGCTCCCCACGCCGGTTACCTTCAACGCTTCCACTTCGTACTTCAGTCTTTGGTTGTCAGCTTGCAGGTCTCTGTTCCTCTGCTCGGCCTGTACTAACTGTGCCTCCAGCTCTGCTTCCAGCTCCCTGCTCCCCTCCTGGAATTCCACTAGCTCATCCCGAGCCTCCTGGAAGCTGATCAGAGACCACGTGGGAACGAGGAGTCAAAGCAGGAAGCAGAGTCAGCCCGAAGATGATCACCGCCAGTTCAAGAATGCGGCCTGGGCGCTGGCACCACCGTAAACTACACTACAGAGTAAAGACAACCAGTTCTGCAGCTCTGACTCTGTATTCGGGGGTTCAGTGAAAGTGAGTTAAAAGGCCCAAAGGGGGCCCCTGGGGACCTCAGTCGGTTAAGTGTCTGCTTTCAGCTCAGGTCACAGTCCTGGAACCAAGCCCCACGCTGGGCTCCCTGCTCAGCCAGGCGGTCTGCTGGTCCTGCTCCCTCTGCCCAGCTCCTGCTCGCTCTCTCGGGTTCTCTCTCAAATAAATAAAGGCTTTTTAGAAAATTTAAAAATTTTAAAAAACTTTTTAAAGGCCCAGAGGACTCACACTTTATATACTCACGACTAGATCCTTCTTATTTAAGGTATAAATAAAGCAGCACATACACTACACCACAAAGTATTTTAATATTTAGGTAATGTTTTTCAATACAGTTGTTCTCCTTTGTAATTTTTTTTTTTTTAAGATTCTTCTCTATTTGAGAGAGAGAGAGAAAGAGAAAGAGTGCCCACAGTGAGGAGGGGAGGAGCAGAGAGAGGAAGGGAGAGAGTCCCAGGCAGACTCCCCGCTGAGCACAGAGCCCAACGCGGGGCTCACTCCCATGACCCGATCATGACCAGAGCAGAAACCAAGAGTGGCTGAGCTGCCCAGGAGCCCCTCTATTATTTAATTTTATCCATTTGAAAGTGTTATTCTGAGAAGGGGTCCACAGGTTTCCCCAGCCTACTAAGGCACCTATGGCATAAAAAAGATTAAGAACTCCTGCCGCAGACAGAGCCTTCTAGATCCATGGGCACAATACAGAACAGCCTTCACCAATAACAATGAAACAGTGGTAAAAGTTTGATAACAAGCTCTGTAAACAAAAGCAGGGAAACGTGTGCGTATGTTAGAGGATGTTTTAAAAAGAAATCTAAGACAAATGTTGGTGCTCAAAGGTCATTATGTAAAGCTTCCCCAACTAATTAAAATAAGTGAGACTTTATAAAACGCTCCATACCCCGGAAACTCTTCTCTCCCCCTTCCCAGCTCTGCTGGCTCCCGACACTGACAACACTTGCCTGGAGAGAACTAGACTCTGCTGTGCGAGCCCCACACAGCCCACTGGCATCTCCAAGGACCGCACAAGGCGGCGGAATCAGGGCACACACAGCAGGCCCAGGATGGCCAAATGCAGTAAGCACAAAAGGAGGTTAACGACCGGAAGAAATCACAAACGTGAAGTTTTCTTATTGTTTTAATAATCTGAGTAATAGGGGCGCCTGGGTGGCTCAGTGGGTTAAGCCTCTGCCTTCTGTTCAGGTCATGATCTCAGGGTCCTGGGATCGAGTCCTGCATCAGGCTCTCTGCTCGGCAGGGGGCCTGCTTCCTCCTTTCTCTCTCTCTCTCTGTGTGCCTGCATCACTGCCTACTTGTGATCTCTATCTGCCAGATAAATAAATAAAATATTTTAAAAAATAATAACAATAATTTGAGTAATAAAGATTTATGGCATTTTCATACTATTTCAATACAGCAATGCTATGACTATTTCCAGAATCCCAAACCTAAATCTGAAACTCTAAATTCAGCTTTATGCTTAAATAAATAAATAAATAAAATACATTGGCTAGAAATGGAATATTCTAAATGCCCTCCCCTATTTTCAGGATGCTTTCCAATATTACCTTTGTTTATACTTCAAGGAAAGTTCCTTCCAGTAAGCAGTTTCCTCCTTTAAACTTGAAAAATCTGGTATATCTTCACCATCCATGATCAAGAAAGCCTGTGAAATATCAAAGACAACCTATGACATTAAACAGAGAACAGGGGCACCTGGCTCTCGGGTGGCGGAGGGGGCAGCTCTTGACCTCTGGGGCGTGTCAAGCCCCACACTGCGAGGAGAGCTTACGATCAACCAGTCAATAAATGACAGCTGTTAAAAATGAAATCCTACGAAATAAGAAAAAATTTCCAAACAAAGAGAGAACACAGGAATCTAAAAGTCTAAAATCTGGGACATTAAATCAGCATTCTGGAGGGAGGTAAACATGACAGGTTCTGAGAGAGAATAACGACTCCAAGTCACATAAATCACTTTACTGCCCCAACCTCAGGGCCCACCAGGCCCACGGACAGGACAGGAGATCCACAGCATGGTCGGGTGGAAAGGCACGTGGGGCACTCTGGGTAGAGGCACCAGCTCCCAGTGAACCGGCCCCACAGGACCATCCCGCACCCCAGGCCCCAGCAGCCGGTCTTCCGGGAATCACGTGACAGAAACAAGGTCACTGTCCAAGCTGACACTCCTCCTGCGTGTCCCTCCCTGCCGCACAACCGCTCAGGAGACCTAGCAGAGCCTGCGCCCAGTGACGCACTAGCAAGTCAGGGACCACGTTCTCAGTAATTCACTATTATTACAGTTCTAAAAACTTAATTATCTGAAGTCCAAAGCTTCCTCCACGAGCTCACTTATCCCCAACTTTAATGCTCTCTCATCTTGGTTGCTCTCCCGAAGCACGGGGGGCAGGGGGGAGGTGTGGAATATCTGTGACGTCACATTTGGACTGACCACCTAAAAACCCCGATTGGCTGGCCAGAAAATGAAACGCCACGGACCCTGGGCTCACTCTACATTCATACCTGGAGCAAAATGCCTGCCCTCCCTCCTACAACCCCCTTCCCACGCATCGCACTTTGTGTTCCAACAACACTGATCAAAATGGTCTGAACGTGACACTGTTTCAGGCCTGGCTGTTTCCTCCACCTGGAACGACTCTCCCTTCCTAGTGCATTTGGAAAGCTCCTATGTGTCCTTGAAAACCTAGCTGTCGTCTTTTCCAGAAAGCCTTTCTTGCCCTCGGACAGCACTGAAATCTGCCACGCTCTTGTTACATCACACCCTACAACTGCTTTCCTGGACAGACTTACCACACGGTAAAGCACTTGCTGAAACCTGTGTCCCCGTCAGGCTGTGCATCATTCTTATTTCGACCCAGGGCTGGGTCTGCACAATAGATTTTCAGTGACATCAGCTAAACGAAACCAAAATTAAATCCACCTAATGCACACTCGGCAGCAAGAACTAACAAGCGGCTTTAAAAGTAAATTAAGAGAAGCCCAGAGTTCACACTGCACAAGCTACTCATACAGGCTGAGCAAGAAGCCACAGACCAGAAACTCCCGCTTCTGGGCGAGTGTGCCAAGAGGTACGAGAGTGATGTCTCGCTGAGTGATATAAACGCGTAACTCGACACACTTAGCTGGAGGCTGACCGGCGCGTTCTGTCGGAGCCGAGTCTTTCCGGACCACGCCACCTTCTCTGACTTTCGGCATCTTTGCCGACCTTCCAATTACCCGAAATGACCAAGCCATCTGAGTTCTCTGAAAAGAGATGGATTCTTGACCATGCTTTGCGCGCCTCATGGCACCAGGCGTAATGCCTGGCGCAGAGACGTACAAGTACTTCCAAGCATTTACTGAGTTACTGCTACGTGTCAGGTGAGGTACTGGAGAGGTACCTGGCACCCCAGGCGGGCCCCCTCCAGTGCCGTCAGCCCTCCCTTGGCTGGACCACTCCACTCTTGGACATGCGCTGAGGGCCCACAGCACATGAAAATGGAAACCTCACGGAGGGGGAGGCCTGCCTGGACTGGGCTCTCGGGTTCCAATTCTTCCATTCATCTCCTTAAGCCATCCGCTTAACCCCTCAAGGTCTCCGTTTTCTCCTCTCATGAGAGTCTGGAGCAGATGACCGGTCTCTTCAAGTCTGCACAGTGACTACTAAATATTACGGATCGATTTTACATCATCAGAGATCCCCATTCGCACTCCATGTCCCCGGTTGTAGAGTGATCTTATTTATAGCTACAGTTCGTAGCCAGGGGTTAATGAGGGTGAGGCTGGTCGAACAAAAGTATTTGTACTTCAAAAGAATATCCAAAACCCTGAAGGTATCACCCCGTGGTTTCAACAACTCTTGAGAACTCCTGCCTCCTGTCTCATGGAGGTAAGGGGCAGATTTCATATTAACAATCCAGATCAAGACACAATCACTACACGAAGCGGCACCCCAAGGTGAGGCAACAATCAGTGTGTCCCTTGAATGCTCTCCGTAAGGTCTTTCCCAAAATTGAAATCCATCTGAAATCTATGAATCCAGCCCTGAAGAACCTCATGGGTACAGGTCTTCCACTCATCCTTCCAACACTGGCAACCATGTATCAAACACTGGCAACCACATATCGATGAGCAATTCAAATATTCAGATGCTGATACACACACTCCAATAAATTATGGCTTTGTAAAATGTTACAAAGATCATAGGCACGCAAGAAGCAAAGTTCGTTGCTACTTATTTTCCCTCAAATAAGAAATATTTTTTTTAAATGAAAGGGAAGTCTCTCCAGCTGGTTCCTTGAGGGCAGAACCAGTGTCTTATTTAAGGGAACATGGGAGAAATTCAACAAATGTTTGAAATTACTTATACTCTTCCTCTCATTAGTCCCTCTCTACTTTCTAAAGTACTGCTTTCCTTTATGAAGACGTAAATTTCTATTTCGGGAATAGTGGAAGCAAAAAAACACTTGTGAGCAGGTTATTTCTGCCTCACAGGGCACCACCACGTACTCCATCAGGCCTGTAAGACCCACCACTGCCTGCTAGACATGGCCAGTCTGACACACGCCAGGCCATGTCCACAGCCCCGTACAAGCTCCAAACAGGCTCCGCCCCGAAGAACAGGGGTAGAGGGAACTCGCTGGGCAGAGCCTGGGAGCCACAGCCACACGCTTGCTATCTAAAATAATCACCGTCCAGCCCTTCGGTCTCTAACAGAAATGGACAACCAAGAAGCACCAGACAAATGAGAAGACCCAGGAACACAAGAAAATCCTAGGAGCTACTGAACTGAGTGGAAACAGGTAATCCAGACAATGAGAGAATTTTTTTCTCCTGCAAGAACTCAGGAGGATGACCTCCCACACACTTCCTGAGACAGTTACAGAAGGCGGAGAAAACCACGCCCAGGCAGCACCGGGTGCAAGGAACAGCGGCTCCGACTCAGGACTGCGAGGAAGAGAAGGCCCCAGATGAAGCCTGGCCCCCGCTCAGCCACATGGGTGGCTCCAGGGGAAACGAGGAGTCCCGTGTCACGGGCAGCCTGGGAAGTGAGATCCATCTGAGCTTGTGATGAAAGCACAAGGGGGACACCTGGCTGGCTCAGTCAGGAGGCTGTGTGATTGCTGATCTCAGGGTGGTGAGTTCAAGCCCCTGTTAGGGATAGAGATTACTTAAAAATGAAATCTTGAAAAAAAGCAAGTGAAAACTCCAGAGAAATGAAAACACAGTATAAGAAGGTCCTGACCTTTACATACAAAATTTTTAAATTAAGTATCTTAAGTCGAAAATTCTTAATTTGCTGATTATATACTTTGTAGCTTACAGTCACCTGGCAGCCATCTTGGTCCCACAGGGATGTCACTGTCATGCTTTGCACCTTGTCTAGGTGACATGTATGCCTTTCTGGAATTGGGTGACTGGTGCCTCTTCGGTATTTCAACATTTTCTTCACAGGTAGGATACTTGTGAAGTTTTCAGGGCTCTTCCTGTTACTAGGCAGCAACTGCTCCTGGGGGATCGTGTGGTCCATTGCCCAGAGTCCTTACGGAAGTTCATAATGACTATCAGATGCCGTCCTTGCACCTAATATTTATTTGAATGTATTTAACATGGAGCCAATCCTTCTACAAACAAACTCTATCTGTAGCAGGAGTGCCTCCAGCTTATCATTCACATGCCCAGTGTGAAACTTTCCTGGGTGAGGCCGCTCTAAGTTGTGTTCCCCAAGGAAACTGTTTACACTTCTGGGTGTCCTATAAAGTATCCATTTATTCCTGATTTTTGTTGCTTAAATGGGGCCACATTCTTAACACAATCACCAATATTGCCATCAGCATTCCCTGATGACTTGGGTTATAAACAGAGTTTCCTGAGAGGCTTTTTCAGTATCTAACTCCATTTCTTATATCCTGCCTATCCAACTCCTTAGTTCAGTGCCAAGTAACAGTAGCAAAACCACTTATTAGTGTGTTTTTATTTCACACGTGCATCTCCTATTTTCTTGCTGAATCTACGCAAACTGAATGTTGACGCCAATTTTTCCAATTAACAGGCTACTTTTACAACCTGTTTATTGGTCCCGTAAACAGTATAATTTACAACTGAAACCTTTTACTAGTAAATGACCATCTTTTCCAGAAGAAACTAACTAAAGACATTCAGCCTGGAGACAAGGGGGTAGAAGCAACACAGCGTAGCAATGGAGAGCCCTGACCCTGAAGCCAGACTCTTCTATTCACTAGCTGGATAACCTTGGGCAGGTTACTCAACCACTCTGTGCCCCCCCCCTTCCTCACCTGCCCAATGGGGATAATAATTAAAATAGGGCTGTTATGAAGATTAAGGGAAGATTAGGGGAATAAGTATTTGTAAAGTACTTAGTACAGAGCCTGGCACATAGTATATGCAGCATAAATTTTATTAAATTGTGAAAAAAAAAATAGTTCAGCAGGGAATCTCTTAAGTATGACTGCAAAATAAACGTGCTTCGGAATTTATAACCTACAAACGATCCCTCAATCTCTTCCAGAAGCTACACACGTAGTCCCGTGATACCACCATTCCTGAAAACACTTTTTAAAACCCCTTTTGGAACAGCCCTGAAGAACAAAATTAAAAACGGGGGAAAAAAGTTATTTCTTTGTGGTCACACCTCATTCTTACTGCTTCCTGACTGCTTTATCCAACTTTATCACTCTTATTTTATTCATCAGAAATACCCTTTCCAGGGGCGCCAGGGTGGCTCCATGAGTTAAACCTCTGCCTTCCGCTCAGGTCATGATCCCGGAGTGCTGCGATTGAGCCCCGCATCGGGCTCCCTGCTCAGCGGGAAGCCTGCTTCCCCTCTCTCCGCCTGCCTCTCTGCCTACTTGTGATCTCTCTCTCTCTGTCAAATAAATAAATAAATAATCTTTAAAAATAATAATAATTAAAAAGGAATACCCTTGGGGTACCTGGGTGGCTCAGTCAGTTAGGCCGCTGCCCTCGGCTCAGTTCGTGGTCCCAGGGTCCTGGGATCGAGTCCCACATCGGGCTCTCTGCTCAGCAGGAAGCCTGCTTCTGCATCCCCCCCCACCGCCTGCCTCTCTGCCTACTTGTAATCTCTGTCAAATAAATAAATAAAATCTTTAAAAATAATAATAATAAATAAATAAATAAAGGAATACCCTTTCCAAATATCAGAATTTTTACAAATGACCAAAATTTGCCACCACTGCAGATATTCAAAAGACCTTCTCTGGCCTGTAAAGACAGTCTGTTCAGTTTGCTTCAGGTTACAGTGGGAGGATGTGTTTACTGTGTTATTTGAAACTATGTAACTGGAGATACTAAGGCTACAGAAAGTTAGCTAATATGGAATAATTCACTGCTCAAAATTTTTTTTAAAAAGCTTCAATGATACATCGATAATCTTATGAGGCTGAAATAAAAGCAGATAATTATGTACTCTCCCCTGCTACCCAAACCTTCCCTCCATCCTGTGTCTCATACAGATGGGAGGATGGATCTCAAAAGTACAACTTCTACATGGGGCATTGTCACACTGTACGTGACCTTCAGATGGTCAGCAACTGACAAAACAACTCATCTGGATGTAAAACAGCCTGTCCAAAATGCTACACTTACCCAGAAGCTACTTTTAGTGCAATGGTAAAAAAATATATATATATCCATCTCCTATGATATTGCCATCCTACTAAAAGTTGTAGTATCGACTAATGAGACTGAGAGAGTTCTTCTGGAACTCACTGTAGGTGATACGTGCCTTTGAACCAAAATCTCCTTCTCCCAAAGGTGACATTTACAGAATTCTTTCCTTTTCAAAGCTGATCACAAATACGATCTCCCGGGGCACCTGGGTGGCTCAGTGAGTTAAAGCCTCTGCCTTCAGCTCAGGTCACAATCCCAGGGTCTCAGGAGAGCCCCGCATCAGGCTCCCTGCTCAGCAGAGAGCCTGCTTCCCCCTCTCTCTGCCTGCCTCTCTGCCTCCTTGTGATCTCTGTCAAATAAATAAAATCTTAAAAAAAAATTTTTTGAGAATAAAAACAAGTTTTGCAGATATCATGAAAGGCAGATCTAAGTTTTTACTGAGGTCTCCATTTATTCTGAATGTCCCTTATCCAACTTCAATTTATTTAACAAGTCTACACCGAATTGCAAAAGAATAGCTTCGTAAGATTTAGCAACTGCTGTGCGGACCAGGTCAACCTCTAACCAGGGCCAGCCCAAGGTTTTCTTTTTTACTTCTAATCTCTCAGTTTTAAATATTAGTTTTAATAAAAATTCAGAAGAGCTGGGGCGCCTGGGTGGCTCAGTGGGTTGAGCCTCTGCTTCGGCTCAGGTCGTGATCTCAGGGTCCTGGGACAGAGCCTCGCATCCAGCTCTCTGCTTGGTGGGAAGCCTGCTTCCCTCTCTCTCTCTGCCTGCCTCTCTGCCTACTTAGGATCTCTGTCAAATAAATAAATAAAATCTTAAAAAAAAAAATTCAGAAGAGCTACCTTCCTCCTCTCCCCTTTACTTCTCTTCAACCCATGACTTAGTGCTGCACGATTTAGCAAAACCATTACCCTATTTCAGAAGTGGATTAAGAGCAACACAGTTCATCAGACAGAACAATTAGCCAGCGACCCATGAACGTTTCAGACAGAGAACGATTTTCTTAACGACCCAGTATCAGTTTTTTGTTTTTTTGTTTTAGATATTTATTTATTTGAGAGAGAGAGAGAGAGAGCACAAGCAGGGGGAGTGGCAGAGGGAGAAGCAGAGTCTCGGATGAGCAGGAAGCCCAATGCGGGATTTGATTCCAGGACTCTGGGATCACGACCTGAGCCAAAGGCAGACACTTAACCGTCTGAGCCACCCAGGCATTCCCCCCACCCCACCCCCGCCCCTGTAGCAGTTCTTATCCTGAGTAAGTCTGCTCAAAAATACTCGAATGCATCTTCTTCCTACTAGCTTCTGGCATATTTTCAGCAAGCCAAATTTTCTGCTGTGCTTTCTAGCTGAGAAGGGTATAAAAATCACACACACACACACACACACACACACACCCGTAACGTCGAGGCTAGAGCCATAAATTCTGATCCAAACGAAGCCACTCACCAACTAGTGGAATCCAAACTTCGGCGTAGATCACTTCCTCCCCCCACCCACCCCAGCTGGGCTCAACTTCCCCATCCGTGCAATGGAGGTAACAGAATCAGGCACCACCCAGGGAGATGAAGCTCCCGAGACAGCAAGCAGCGTTCTGAGACGCGTCAAGGCGCTGCCGAATTAGAATGTAATTATCAACACCGAAGGAACACGCACCGCCTCGGCAAAACTTAAAAGGTGACTTCGTTGCTTACCAGCCAAAAAAAAAAAAGGAAGGAAAGAAAAAAAAAAAAAAAAAAAGGCGAGCAGACAGGCAACCCGAACCCGTCTGGGGACACTTCTGCGAACTCCAGGAGGGACGGGGAGTCACGGGGATGCCACCGAAGCCCGACGTGGGCTGCTGCTGCCCCCCGCGCGGAGAGGCCCCGGGACCTGGGAATCCGAGCCGGCCGACAGCCCTGCCCGCCCAGGGCGCTCGGGGGGAGGCGGGGGAGGGCTGGGCGCGCCGCGGCCACCAGTGCCCCGGCTCGCGGTGCCACGTCCCGGCCTGCGTCCGCGCACCCCTCGCCTCGGCCCCGGCCACCCCCTCCCTGGACCACACCTCGGACCGGGGCGGGCAGGGGTTGCGGGGGGCAGTTAGAGCGGTTGGAACAGTCGCCCGGGGCCGGCCGCCCCCAGAGCCCGGGCCCGACTCGGCCCGGTGGGGCCTCGCACCCGGCCCCGCGGGCGCGGCGGGCTCCCCCGGGGACAGGCCTCGGCGCCGCCACTCGGCCCGGCCCCCTCGGGAGCGGCCCCGCACCGCCCGCTCACCTTCAATGTGTCAAAAGCGCATGTTCGCCGCCGCTCGACCGACGTCTCCGCTCCGCTGGCCTGCCCAGGCCCGCCCAGCCACTCGGCTCGGCTCCCCTCCGCAGCCCAGAGCTCCACTCCGCGCACCTCGGCGCCCGGCTCCTCCCAGACACGTCAGGGGCCGCCTCGGTGTCCGAGGCCATTCTGTGACGCACGGGGGCGGGGCCCGGAGCATGCGCGCGAGCGCGCGCGCGGCCGGGGCGGGGCTGAGGCGGGGATGGCGTCACGCGGGGGGGGCGGGCCGGGCCCAGCGCGCTGACGTCAGGCTGGCGGCGGCCTCTGCGCACGCGCCCTCAGTCGCCGCGGCTCCCCACAAACAGCTGAGCGGGTCCGGGAACTGACGCCCCAGGGAGCGGGGCGCGGGAGTGACACCCTCTAGCCTCCGCGTTTTTCAGCCACCGAGGTCCTTCGAGTGTCCGTGTGTCCGGGCGCCCGTTCGTAACGTGACTCTCGGGTCTGATCTCACCCCGTAGCACACCCCCGAGCACCCTGCAGAGTAACAGGGGTGTCCCCGTCCCCCTCGTCACTCCCACGGGGATCTGCGTGCTGTTCGCGCTCTCTCTC